TTTAAATCAGTGAAAATACTTCCAAAAAGGTTCTCCCGGGATAATTTTAAAGTTTTGAATGCTGTTCCTAAGCTTTACCGTTTTATGAATAGGGAAAAATTTCTTAAGAAAAACAGTGACAAATTCATCCCAAGTTGAGATGAAATTTGTTGGTAAGCTGTACAGCCATTTTTTAGCTTTATCCTTAAGAGCAAATGGAATAAATCTAAGCTTAACCGCATCTTCATTTAATTCTCTCATTTTAATCATAATACACACTTTCTCAAATTCCGAAATAAAAATATATGCGTCTTCTGTTTTATTTTTAAGGAATTTGGGAAGCATATTTATGTATTGCGGTCTAAGCTCAAAATTTATTGCATTTGTTTCGGGGAGCCTAATGCACGAGGGAATTGCATTCCTAATGGGATAGCACATATCATGAAGAACGGGTGGATTAGGATGCTCCATTCTATGATTGGTTCAAAGCGAATTAATCGATGTGTATTATCCCTAATCCACTGTTGCATACACCAGAATATTTCTTTTTATTTTTTTTAAGAAAAAAAAATTAGTTTTTTTTATGAGAAGAAAAGGATAAAGAAAAATCTTAACTAAAACAAATCAAAACAATCACTTTTCAATCAACTCTAATTCTAGGGTTTAGCCTAACTCAACTAGACCAACTCCTAACCAAAAACTCCTACAGTGAAAAGATAAAAGTTTTACCCAGGTAGTTAGCCAGGTAAGGATAGTACTAGAGGGTGATCAGAGATCAATTAAGTACCTCGTTCCTTACGGAGCGCTTTACGTAACCCCTAAACCTTGCCTGAGACACCAACTAATCTGAGAAAACTTAAACCGGTTCACTTAAGGATTTCTTGTTCCTTATTGAGCTCGAATCCTTAGGGGCCAACGTCTAATGAGTTTTATTAGGTTTGGGTAGTGTAGTGAGGAATTAGTGATTTTTGAGCTAAGGAAATGGTGATGAAATCCCTCACCTTATCTTGATTATGGGGTTTTGCCCTTAAAAATATTTTTAAGTGTGCCAAATCAAGATGCTCAAATCACTTGGTGAATTCCTACTATCAATATGAAATGCAACCCTATGAATTAAAAGCAACTAAAAAGGATGGAAAAGAAAAGTCTTTTTTTTAATTAGGGTTAACAATCAAACAAATGAGAAGGGGGGATTTGTTTGAATTTATTATCTTGTTAGGAAATGTCAAAGTGGAGGATGAATTTTATTATGGTTAACAAAAAATAAAATCTTTTTTTTAAAGTCCTAAGGTACCATTTGGCAAAGGGTTAAGAGAGAGGTTAATGAGACTTAACCCCTTCTTAACCTGCCAAACACAACAAATCTATAGAAGGGTTAATGTGAGTTAACCCTCCATAATTTGCCAAATATAAAAAATATAGAAGGGTTAAGTTAACCCCTCTAGAGGGGTTAAAATAAGTTAACCCCTCAAAATGAGGGGTTTACTAATACTCCTATTTAGATGGAATAAGAGTTAACCCTTCTAATTATAAAGAAAATAGTCAAAATCATTGTTATTCCCTTTAACCCCTCTTCATTAACCCTTTGCCAAAATAAAACTTATTTAATGGGTTAATAATTTAGTCCTTCGAATTATCAAATGGGCTAAGTACATTAATCCTTCTCTTTAACCCCTCTTCATTAACCCTTTGCCAAACGGGGCCTAATTGTCTCTAATTGTGAAGAAGTAGCTAAAGGGTAGAATTAAAAACTAGAAAGAGGACTTACCCGAAAGCAAATTTTCAAATCCTAGCTCTCCAATCCGCGATCTTCAAGCTCCAAGCGTTTCCTTCACAAAAAACACACAAGTTAAAGAACCAAAATAATTAAAACCTAAGCTAAAATTACTATTCATGATAAGAACAACAACATGATAATAATCCTAGAATTCATAAGCATAACCTATCAAACCATTTAAGATAAGCATAGATTATCAAATTCTTCTTCTACCGATTAGTTCTCTAGTTGATTATCCTAACATGAACATTTTAAGTACAAGAGAATAATTCATACAATATAAAAGAAATTAGACTAGTTTCATACAATTCTAAGATTCCTACAAGAATTAAATTCACATCTTAAGAAATAAAAACAAGAAAAAGAAGACTAATTACAAAATTAAAAAGAAAAGAAAAATCTAAACTATGAACAAGAAATAAATCTAATTACAAAGAAAATAAAAATCTAAACTACAAAATAAATTGCAGAAATTAAATGCAAGAAAAATAAATCTACTCTACAAATTAAAGTGCAAAAAGAAAATAAAAAGACAAGAAAGTAAATCTATACTACAAGCATGAATTTAAATCTAACTAATAAGCAATAATAAAGAAATTACTAAAAAGAAATAAAAGAGAAAAGAAATGCAAACCTTCAAATTGCTCTTCATCTCCATCCTCATCATTCAACAAGAGGAGAAAGAACAAATTTAAAGAGGAAAAAATTATTTTTATTAATTGCAACTAAAGTTACAATTTTTGGAAGGCCTTCTCAATTAAGAGTAGCCCTCCTCTCCAAAAGGAGTTACAAAAATTTTCACACCCTTAACCCCTCACTCTCTACCCCTATTTATAGTAATCTTCAATGAATATGAGCCATTGGATTTGTCTTGAGCCCCAAGTAACAATCTCCACCATTGAATTTGTTTTTTGTTCTTCTCTAGCCCAACATAAGAGGCCCATATGATTTTCAAAATTAAATGAAAATCAAGTTTGGTCCAATGAAGATCTGCAGCAAAGAAAGAAGTCCGACCCTTCATTTGATTTTCAAAAATCAATTCTGCAAAAGTCCGGTCCTATTGGCTTCATTTGTTCTCCAAATCCAAGCAAAGTCTGGTTTCCCAATTCAAATCCAGCAATCAAGTTTTAAGAGCTGCAGCAACAAAATTGCAAGCCAAGTCCAATGTAAAATGCCCACACAATGATTTTCAAATCAAAGTTTGCAGCCCAATTCCATGGAGACTTGAATAAAAATCAGCACCGGCCCAATTCCATTTGATTTTCGGCCCAGCAGTTTGGTTTTCATTTGATTTTGAACATCAAAAGTCAGTCCGGTCTCTTGAGAGAAAAATGAGTGTAATTATTTTCTTTTTGATGGGCTTGGGCCTTCAAGCTCACTTTAGAATAAAGAGGAGCTTGTGTTGCCTTCTTTTGGGCTTTTGAAACTCAAATATTTCACTTGAGAAAAGAGATGAGATTTTTGCGATTTATTCTTCGTTAACCTGCAATTAAAGATAAAAGCAATTATTAGTGGTATATTTATTCATATAAAATAGATAATGAAGGAATAAAATTGTAATAAAATATGATTATTATCTATCCTTTAGAAGAGGATTTATAAATTTTTCACATCTCTCACCCTCGCTCTACCCCGCAATTCATAGATTCCAAAAATCTCTCACAACCCTTTGATTTGACTTGACTTTTAAGTAACCCTCACAACCGTAGGATCTTCCAAAACAATTTACACCCTTAATTCTTTTCTTGCCCTCCAAGACTTACTAGATAAGGTTTTATGAGCTTCATTTCTCTTATATTTAATTCCTTTTAAGCTATTGGACTTCTGTTTAATGCTCTTGGGCTTCATATGATATGATGCAGCTTTCAAGTAATTGAATATATGATGATTAAATTCGAATTTCTGGCAAAACTTGAAATTTCTGATGGAATTTCTAAAATGTGTTAATCTGGATAACTATCTCGTCGTGCTAGGTGATTTTCATATATAGTATGTTAGATTCTGATTTTTGGATTGAGAGATAATGCCTTTTCTTTGCAGTTGACTATCCTGAATATGAATTTGAACTGATTTCTTTTCCTACTGGTTCCTTGGCTCTCATGCTTCTTTTCAGCTTCAATTAAACTTTACTTGAGGTGTTTTTGGGCTTGAGATAATATTCATTTGAGCTTTTATTTATTCAATTGTTTATTTCCTGAAAATGCATTAAAAACACTTAGTAGCAAATAAAACTATTCAAAAATTATAGGAAATGAGGGTATAAGAATGCAATAATAATTATTAAGCAGTGCAAGTAGGGAAACTTAACTTGCAGCATGTTTCTCTTTAATCCTGTATTCTAGTTCATCCAAAAAAACGTTAATTAATCCTCCAAAATCTTACTGGCATCAGCTTTTGCATCAAACTTTCGAAGAATCTAATGTCGCTGAAGCAGACACTCATCAATGAGAATGCAATCAACATCCTCATTGTGAAGCCCTTAAGTGTGTTGGACGGTTGACTTCCTACTGAACACATGCATGTTTTCTCCACTACCACTTTCTTATCCTCTAATTTGATAAACCTAACCTTTCCTTATAGGCATGGATGCTATATCAAATCGCATGTCCCTTGCATCCATAGCTTCCAGTGCTGCAGCCTATACACCTGAATTCTCAGGCATGCACCAAAATCTAGTTGTTTCCTATTGTATTATAGCCTATGCAGCCCCTGTAACCTGCCCATTTTTCTGTTTTATGTATGCTTTGGTTGATTTAGACCAAAATTCAGACAAGTAGTGTCGTGGTAACTTTGGATGTTCAATTTAGACCATTTAATTAAAGTCGTGCATATTTTGTTTTTGTTTATGTTACTCACTAGCTCCAGCTTAGATGCATTTTCCTGCAACTGTCCTTGTCATCTGCATAAGCACAAGAGGAACTGAGGTAAATTCGTAGCTACTATCATGTTAACATCAAAGCTTGCGTTCTATTTTATATTTTTAGGTTTCTCATCTGGATGCATTGAATTGTAATTCACGCTTCAATATTTAACTTAATCACCTATGATGAGGATCAATTTTGTTAATTTCAAATTACTATTACACCCTTTGATAACTATTTCACTATTTTATAAGAAGTTTGTGCGGCAATATCAGAGTTCATAGATAATATGAAAGTTATATATGCTTTTTTTTATTTATAGATATGATCTCTGTTTTGTAAAGAGGTATTGAGTTTTGTTTCTCTTGTTTTTGGGAAATTAGGTTGTACCAGATGCTGGTCATTCAGCTAATGAAGCTGGAATTGCTGCTGAGCTGGTTTGTGCCAATGAAAAATTCAAAAACATACTGAAGACAGGTGATGCTTCATGCTGAGTTTCTGTTCCATGATCATGGCTTTCAAGCAAAGGAGATCATACATAATCCAGTTATTCTATTTACGTGCAATTTGTGCTGATGGACAATAAGTCTAGGTCAGTTTCTTTTACACTATAATAATGTATGCATTAAATTTTTGTCTGCTACAAAAAAAGTAAGGTCTCAATGGTCCATCAAGTTCTGTTGTTTGTGTAACAGTTTCTGAATCAATTATCAATGTTATTCTATATTTTGATTCCATGTGATGATAAATTGCTACATCAGAAAAATTGTACTCTACCAGTCTACCGTTCTTTTGAAGGCCCTAAATTATCTGAAGCTGCAGCAGAAAGACATTTTGTTAGTGAAGAGATAATTAGCACTAAAAGAAGATCTAACAATTTGCTCCAAGAAAATGAAAAATAGGAAGAAATAGTATTTATAAATGTGGAGTCTAGTTACATAAAACTTAGAAGAAGTTAACTGCTTTAACATGGAAAGTAAATGGCAAAGGATTCAAGTTATTATTGTTTAGAAAAGGATAATGCTATGTGATGAACATCCAACCATCCTTTCACCATATCTTTAGGAGGCAAGGGGAGTATATAATCATACCCATCCCTAAGAAATTGATCAGTAGATTGACGATCCTCGTCCGGTAGTTTAGCCAACATCGTTAGCAGTACACCATTCTGTTTAGTTGATAGGTTTCAATGTAGAATGTTTTAATCTAAATAGCACTTTAATTGTCTTTAGCAATCATGAGTCATGACACAAATAATGAGATCTAGATCAAAAACTCAATGACTGATATATTTAAGCTACAGAATTTAATCATAAATATTTAGGACAAATTTTCAAAACCGTCCTATTTGTACATTTAATCTAAAAAAACAACCCATTTTGACTTTATTTATAAAAACCGACCTGGTTTCAGCCCTGATGCTAAAATCAGGTCGGTTTTTATGAAAAAAGTTCCCAAACTTCACGGGAGTTCAACTCCCGTGAAGTTTAGCAGACATTTTGTCAAGCTGCTAAACTTCACGAGAGTTGAACTCCCGTGAAGTTCCCATTATTTATCAATTCCCTCCGCCTTCATTCCTGTTATTCATTCCTTAAACCCAAAAATTCCCTCTGTCAACGAGTTCGACTTCTTCTCCGAGAGCATCGGCCTCCTTCTCTCTCGCCTCCCCTCCCCCCAATTTAATCCCCCCTTCCTCTA